GGAAGGTCATCACAAAATTAGCAAGGCAGTGGAAGGTTTGAGGAGGAGCAGAAAATTAAAGGCAACAAAAGTGAATACTATTACATACACAATCCTGCAATAAAGTAATAAGAATAATCAGCATAGTGACTAAGACACTTGCCTGCTAACCAGACGTTCAAATCCACCAGCCACTCCTTGGAAGGAAGGTTGGGCAATCCTACTTCCGTAGTGATACTGCCTCAAAAACCCAAGGAGGGGTCGCTATGAGTCGGGGTTGACTCGACGGCACATAACAACAACAACAACAACAACAAAGATACATAGATAGATACTCAAGCTGAACAGCAGTGAGAAGGTGAATGGCGCTACACTCATTAATATACATAGGCTGGACAAAGGATATCTCTACTTATGTATTTATATGTACAGCAAATATATCCAGGAATATAGTAGTGTATACAGAGGACAGTCATAATCAAATACCTTGAGGGAGTGAGTTGTCAGCCATGGGGGCTCAGGATCATAGACTCATCAGGCACTGGGGTTAAGTGCCTAAAGCATTTGACTGCTAACAAGAAGGTTGGCAGTTCAAACTCACCAGCTGTTCTTCAGAAAGAAGATGGAGCACTCTACTTCCATAGTGATACCGCCTTGGAAACCCAAGGAGGGGTCGCTGTGAGTTGGATTCGACTCCATGCCAATGGGTTTGTTTGTTTGTTTCTTTTTTCAAGTCTGCAAAGACAGTCTTCTACACCTTACTTTGGTGAGTAGAGACTAAGGTCTTAAAAGTTTGTGAGTGGCCATCTAAGGTGCAATTTTTGGTCTTTCCTCATTAGAAGCAAAGAGTGAAGATTACATCAAAGATGTGATGAAACAATCAAAAGAACTAATGGACCACATTAACCCTATCCTCCCTCAGTGAGATCAAGAGAACTAGATGGTACCCAGGTACCACTGATGACCATTCTGAAAGGGATCACAATAGGAGGTCTCAGATAAAGTGGGGAGAAAAATGTGGAGCAAAACTCAAAATCATAACAAAGCACAGACCTACTAGTCTGATAATGGTTAGTGGAGTCCCTGAGATTATGACCCTTAGACACCCTTCAAGTCAGGAACTGAACTCCCATGCCTCAGCTTTCAACCAAAATGATAGACAGTCCTAGAAGGTGAATAGTAATAACAGGAAGGTATACACTAGACAAGATAAAAAAGAGTAAAAATTGCCCAGAGATAAAGCTAAGAAGGCAGAAAGTAACATGAAAGAAAAATGAAGGAAAATGATAAACAGAGGGAGGAAGTGGGAAAAGTGCTATTACATTGTGGGATTGCAATGTATGTCACCAAACAAAATGTGTATGAATTGTTGAACAGAAAAACAATTTGCTCTGTAAAACTTTCACCTAAATTACAAGTTAAAAAAATAATCTATACCTTATTTATACTACAAAAAAATTAAGATAAAAGAAATCTTGAAAGAACCTAGAAGGGAAAAAAAAAAAAAAAACTTAGCTACAGTAGAATAAAGATAAAAACTATAGTGGACTTCTCCTCAGATAGGAAAGAGTTGAAATATTTAAGGTGTTTAAAGAAAAAACACAAACTTTGAATTCAATATCCAGTGAAATTGCCATTCAAAAGCAAGGAAGAAACTAAGACTTTCTCTGATAAACAAGAACTGAGGAACTTCATCACCGGCAATTTGCCCTGTAAGAATCATTAAATATGTTTTGAGGAAGAAGGAATATGATATACATTAGAAACAAATCTGAATAAAGAAGGGAAGAATGGCAGAGAAGCAATAAATGAAAATAAATTTTCTTGTTTTGAGTTGATCTAAAAGATAACTACATTTGCTTAAAGCAGTAAGAATACCTTTGGTGATTATGACATGGATAAATGAAATAAGTGACAGCAAAGTTATTATGGACATAAGGGAGAAATTAGGAATACTGTTATAAGGTAACTGCACTACACATGCAGCAGAACAGTGTTATTTGAAGGTGGACTTAGATTAGCTATCGATATATATTAGAAATTCTAAGGCCACCATTACAAATATATATTTTTTAAAATGTAATTGACATGCTAACAGTGGAGATAAAATGAGATTATATAAAATGCTCAATTAAAACCAGAGAAGACAGAAAAAGAAGGGTAATAATGAGTAAAAACCAGTTAGTAAACATGGTGAATATCAATAGCTATATCAATAATTACCTTAAATATACATGGTCCAAATATACCAGTTAAAATGCAGAGATTAATAGAGTGGATTAAAAAAAAAAAAAAAGGCAAGAAGCAACTATATTTTGTTGACAAGAAATCCACTCAAAATATAGATTCAGAGAGGTTAAACATAAAGGAAAGATGTACCATGTTAGCACTAAACTAGCAGAAAGCTGGAGTAGCTAAATTAATTTCAGACTGAGCAGACTTCAGAGCAAGAAGGATTTCAAGGATAAAGGGGCCATTGCATAATGATAAATGGATCAATTATCCAAGAAGACATAACAATCCTGAACATGAATGCACCTAACAAGAGGGCATCAGAACATGGGAGGCAAAAACTGATGGAATTAGGAAATAGAATACAAGTAATCAGCTCATCATATAAGTTTTTGTTGTTGTTGTTTTATTTTCTTCTGGTTATTCAGATGCTTCAAGCAGATGAACTGTTTTAAGGAATCAATGGCTATGACTTGGAAGAGGAACAGCAGATGCTAAGTGGTCCTCAGTGTTACTGTATTGGAAATTAGGAAGATAGTCAATGAGTTTCATGAGTAAATCTGTCCACAAGGCAGCCACCAGTGGATGTCCTGGGCTCAGTTTGAGAGAGGGAATTTTGAGACAGTGAGGTCACCTATCCTTCCTGTGGCCAAGTGTGCAGCAGTCAGGGAAAAACTGCTGGGTGAGGACAACCAACAGGACTCAAGTGCAGCTTCTCTCCTGGTTTCCTGGCCTAGATCTTGGTGCACAGATGGTGCATTGTATTTTCCTAACACTGAGCATGAGCCTTGAAAAGGGCTTCACAAATGTGCTAAAAGACTTCTGCTTTCCACTGTTGATTATAAAGACCAAAGTTGTTTAGATTTGAGAAATCTGAAGTGGGTCATTCATTACAGCTTAAATGGAAAAAAAAAAAAAAAAAAATCATGCAAGTTTAAAACTGTAGTTTCTTTTGCATTTTAAGGGAAAAGACCCTGCACTGAGTCCTTAAGCCCTAGTCTAGCCTGAAACTGAAGAATGAGAAAAGGAGAACTGAATAATAAATATTCTGAATAAATGCAAATTGCCATCTTCTTGTGGGCAGAGACTAGCTTCACAAGTTTCATTGTCTTTAGGAAGATGTCTCTTCCTGTTCTTACACTCATGGGTCCTATCTAGGTGGCACAAACTTGGATATAAATCTGTTTCATAAAAACAGTAAGTCTTAATTTCTCAAACTTTTACATGCATCCAGGTCACCTGGGGACCTTGTGAAAATGTAGATTCTGGCACAACAATTCTTGGGCTGGTTAAAATTCTTTATTTCTAACAAGCTTCCAGGTAATGCCATAGCTCTAATCCACAGGTCACCCTCAGCCATAAGCAAACACAGAGGAAAAAACTGAAGTCCGGGAAGATCAGTTTCCATTACAGAAGTGGGGAAAATTCTCCTAATGCCAGTTGACTCAGCAGCTTAAAATAACTCAGACCTAAGCCATTCTCTGTCTGAGTGAAAAGGTATTGAGGTCCTGCTCAGAATTCTTGAGTATTCAAGCTCAAATCAATAAAGAGCTTAGTTCAATACCTTAGCTTTTTTAATGGAGATATTAAGCTCCAGAAGATTTAAACCATTTACCATGATTACACAATTGTTTAGGATTATGATCAGGATTTCTGTGGTTTTGACTAGTGTTCTTTTACACGTTTCATATTAAAAATGAAACCAGCATACAGCAGATGATATGGAGTCAGGATACAGTGTGAACAGTGGAGGCATTAGAAAAGTTGGGAGAGAAAATGAAGGATAATAAAACCAATGCAGATCCAACAAATGAATTTATAAAAGACCAGATACAAAAATGTGCAGTGTAGGAATAGTCATTTTATTATTGATACTATTATTTTAGGGAATAACACATCAAACAGGCTCATTTTCTTTAGGAAAGTGTATATGGGACACAGGGTAAGAAGAAATTATGAATGGGGAGTTCCTTTCATCCCTATAGGGTGAATGATCCAGGTTCAGGCCTCAGGCAATGATGCCTTTAAACATGGCCTTCCCTTTATTACAGCAGATCAAAGTCTAACTTAGAAGACTCATGGGCTCAGCCTAAGTCTGAAGATTCCACTATAGCCCTTTTACTCATATCTTTAATTAATGATTAAGGAAAAACATCTCTAACAGGTGTATCTCAACACAAAGTTCTTAGGTAGCTGTAGGAAAGACATGTAGCATAGCTAGCAAAGCCCAAGCAAATACAACCAATAAGGTAGGCAACAGTGCCAACTGTCACAAGGGAAGCCTTGAGTCTCTCTTTATTTGTGATCTTGAGACTACATTGATCTTGATGTTTGCTATCAACCTCTGCTTCTAAAAAATAAAAAATTTCAGGGCTCATCAGTCTGATCCTATTGGACAGACAAATAAAAAGAAGAAAGATCTCTTAATTTGGTCATTCCCTAACACAAATATTGCAACCTATGGTTGAAGTCCACGCCATTTGTTTTTCCTGTTTCTGTTCTAAAAAACTTGGGAGAAACATTGCTCTCTATGAATGCTTGGAACTCTTCCAAGAAAGGGAACACGTTCTGGGGCCATCAGCACTTGCTTGAGTGAATATAATGGGGGATAGGAAGATTACATTCAAGGGGAATCTGGAACTGAGAGGAGGTAGGGGATGGTCATCCTTTATTTTTATGACAGGAAACTGATGAAAAAGGTGTAAAATACAAAAACACATCACAGCAGAAGAGAGAGTAAAGGAAGGGGCAATAGCTGAGAAGAGAGCTTGTGTTTCTGGATGGTATCCTTAGTGGGTTATGGTTTTAGGATCCACAGTTGACTTCAGGAGAGAAACAGCAGCTTTCATAAGCTGATGCATGGCACAGCCTGTGATGAGAGGTAGCAGTGAATTAGGAATCAAGGCACAGCAAGGTTAAAAGTAATGGAGACTTCTCCCACTTCCCCTTAAACCTCCCTGATCATCTCCCACTGTCTTCCCTCAAATCTCTGGACTATTGTCTTCCTATTGCCCAGATTCTCCTTTCTTCTTCTCTGGTCCAAGAAATACTCAGCAGCATGATGTAGTAAATACCCAAGGAGTTGTTGTTGTTGTTGTTATGTGCTGTTGAGTCGGCCCCGACTCATAGCAACCCCTCCTTGGGTTTCCGAGGCAGTATCACTACGGAAGTAGGATTGCCCAACCTTCCTTCCGAGGAGTGGCTGGTGGGTTTGAACCGCCAGCTGTCTGGTTAGCAGGCAAGTGTCTTAGCCACTATGCTACCAGTAGGTGCTTCAATTCATCTTATACTCATCTTGGTCAAGATAAGAACAAATGGCATCTCATGTCCTTTTTACAAATCATACTCCCATCCAGGTCCCTCTCCAACTTTTCTCACCCCTCAGTCTTAGATGTCACCCTCACACTTCCATTTCTGTCAAGGCAAGAACTAGTTCAGTGGCTAAGCATGGTGATGGAAATGTGATCATTGGGACTCTCTGTCCCTCATCCTCCATTAAGCCTAAAGGATCAGTGACTGGGAATACGGCTGACTTCCGAAAGGAAAAGAGGAGTCTCAAGATCGTGTTCTTACCTACATTAATGTGAATCCAGGCCATTGCTTTCCTTGCCAGCAGATCCCATTCACACTGCAGCTCCTTACCATAGACATGCAGCCAGAGCACAGCCAGGACAGTAGCCCAGCCTGAGGAATCCAAATTCTGTACAATAGACAGAAACGTTCCTGAAGCTTCCACATTGGGACAGGAAGTCTCTCAGAAGAAGAAAAAGCTCCATTCCCTCCTCTAACTACTACTAAATGGGATTACCTGGTCTCTCTGTACCATATACTACTTGCAGTCGGTCACAGTGTCAGGCCTTGAAGCTCAGGGCAATGATTCATTAAGTCTTAGGGTAGAAAGGACTTAAATTTTAAATCCATTGTAACGATCTAACCAGTCCCTAGTTTGAAATCCCTCAAAACACCCTGAAAGTGGTTACCCACGTGACATAAAAGAAACATGTATGCACAAATACTTTATATTTTGTAAAGAATTTACATGATTTTTTTATTTTAACCTTCACAACAACAAAAAGAATGGATCAATCAATAAGTAAACGATTGAAACAAAAACAACAAAAATAATAGTAAATCCAACCTTATAGAAAGATCAACCACCACACTTTTAAGAAAGAAAAGTTGATTCGTATAGAGTTCATCTTCTAGCAAATAATGGTGTTGGGACTGGGGCCCAAGTACTCTGATTTTAAAATGTACTTTAATATATTGCTTTATTGAAAGTCTCACAGAATAGAGATTGATGAGTTTTTACCCACGGACCTAGCTTCATATTTTGGAGTCAAACAGATCAAGGGAAATTTCCCTTTAATATCATGGTTTTTAAGGTTTGAAAATAGGTATTATGTCTTCTCTGAGTAGCCTAATTTCAGGTCAAAATCCTCAATTCCTTTAATCCTTCCTCTTACATCAAAGCAGTAAGTATTCCCATGCTAATCTGAAAGCAAATATCATGGTAATTTGTAAATATATATATATATGTATATATGTATATATATGTATATATGTGTATATATGTATACATGTATATATATGTATATATGTATATATATGTGTATGTGTGCATGCACGTGTGTGTGTGTGTGTGTGTATCACCTTAAATTCTCACAACTGGAGGGGTAAATACACTTAGGAAAATTTAATAATAATATGGGTCTCCAGAAATAAGTACAGGATCTAGTGGTTATAAAGATTTATTTCAAGTGTGAAACCAATTCCAAATTTGGGTTTTCAACTAGTTTTCATTGTCTATAGCATCATTAAAAAAAAACGAAAATCAAATGCCTTAGTGAAATTCAGATACACTAGGTTTCTCAATTGACTGAATTTATTGGCAAGACACATACAGAATTTTTAATTTTCTAGTAGCTAATTTTTCTTTTTGAAAAAGTAAAAGAGGTGAACATATTTTAATAACATAATTAAAATATATTATTTTCTAGTAGTCATTTTTTACTTTTATAAAAAGTAAAACTGTAGAAGTGAAATTACTTAAATAATTAAAATAATTTCATCTCTTTATTTTCAGAGAAAGGGTAACCAAAGGGAGGAAGTGGGAAGAGAGCTATGACATTATTGGCAATTGTAGTCAATGTCATAAAACAAAGTATGTATGAACTGCTGTATGGAAAATGAATTTGCTCTGTAAACTTTCACCCAAATCACAACAATTTGTTTTTAAGTGATATATGACTACTAAAAATTCAAAGTTACATATGTGTCTTACATTGTATTTCTGAGACAATGCTGTTCTGGAAGAAATAATTAAAAGATAAATTTGTGATCACGTGGAAGAGGATACAAGAACCATGAAATGCCCAGATCCAATGAAAACAACATGTCAGACTAACATTTCATTCCTTGACATGGTAACTCAGCCAATAAATTCAGGCAATTAAGAGACCCAATATATTTTAATTTTAGTAAGCATTTGAATTTCTTTTTAATGATGTTTTAGACAGTACATATTAGTCTACAGCAACCTATATCCTCTTTCCTCAGGTGGTTCCTGACCTAGCCATAATTCTCCTTACTGGCCCACTACCTCAAACACACACACACATGCACACACACACACACACCCCTTCATTTTTCTTCTAGGACTCTCACCTTGTAAGGAAGGGCAGCCAGTATGTCTTCTACACTCAAACCTAGGACCAAGGCCAGACCTTCATTCAGATCCCAAGAACCATCTGCCTTTTGGAGGGAAATCAGCTGCACAAGATGATTATCTCCAAAGACTTTTGGGGAAAAAGAAAATGGGAAATTATGAAGCTTTTGCCCAGTTAGCATACTTGAGAGAGGCTGCCAAATTCAGAGGGATAAGCTATAGGAAGAAAGAGTGCAGAGCCAAGCAGATCCGACCAGGATCCCCACTTTAGGCCTTCCTCTAGGAGATGTGCATTTTCTCTGTGACAATGTAGGCCACCCAGGTGATGCACTGACTCCAGATGAGTTGCACTCCAAATATGTCAACAAGGGAAAATAAAGGACATTAAAGAACCCATGGACTAAGTAAGCTCTTTAGAAGTCTTATCTACTCTTGTTTAAAGGGTTTTAAAATTTTAAGTATATTAAATATATATATGCAAATATGGCTTAAATTTAAATTATTGAAAACTTCAAAAGAAAGCAGATAAAAAGAAGCAGTCTACCTCAGAGAGCAGTTTACTGTCTAATTCTGGTAGCATTGAAATTGCTTAAAGACCACACACCTCTCTTAGGAAGTATCTAGCATCTAGCTATCTATCATATGGGATGATGAATTTAGAACAACTTAGAAATTAGTAGATACAAAAATACAAAATTGTAATTAAAAAAATATATATAATATAGTTATTCTCTAATGAAAATTAAAACTAAAACAAAAACCAACAACTAATGTTCTGAATTTCAAGTCTTACTTTGAATCTCAGCTCTGCTAACTTACTTGAAGTGTAAAAGTTATTTAACATTGTGAACTTCAGTCTACTCATCTGTAAACTGGGGAAAATAATGCCTAATCCATGAGAAAACATGTAAAGAACAGGGGCTGACCCCTACTAGGATAATAAGCTTTCTACATATAATAGTTGCTATTACAGGAGCTCTGGTAGCATAGTGGCTAAGACACTTGCCTGCTAACCAGACGGCTGGCGGTTCAAACCCACCAGCCACTCCTCGGAAGGAAGGTTGGGCAATC